TCTAGAAATCTAAGTGTCCATATCCCAATTGTTGCCAATACTGACTTGATTCATCTGGAGCCTGAGTGTTACCATGAAGATCACTTGCTTAAGAACCATAAAAAGAACCCAGGGAGTCTCACTTTCCAGTCTGTCAGGTCCCATATTCCAGTTTATTCACCCAATCTGCTAGGTCCCTAAACCCTTTGCTATGAATCAAAACCCTCAAATCCTTGGTCATCATCTGCACCTGGTCAGATATCCATGACAACTGTCTCCAAGACTATTTGCTCCTCTAGACACAGTTATCCTGATAAACAAGAAGAAACCTGAAAAATGATTCAAGATTCTCTATCATCGATGGGTACATTGCTGGCTTATAATCAATTGCCTAATTCCTACATAAATAATATCCTATGTTCCTCTTCCATACCACAGGTCTCCTTAACTAGATGTGCTTCTCCTTAAGGGTGGAAACCAGGTTTTCATTATTACCCATAGCCAGTATCTTACAGATTCAGTCAATTCTCTTTACGTTTGTTTATTTATTTATTAGGGGCGGAATGCAAGCAGGGGAGAGGCAGAGAGAGAGAGAGAAAGAGAGAAAGAGGGAGAGAGAGAGAGAGAGAGAGAATCCCAAGCTAGCTCCATGCTGTCCAGGCACAGCCTGACACAGGGCTCAATCTCATGCACCATTCAATCATGCCCTGAGCCAAAATCTAGAGCCAAATGCTTAACCGACTGAGACATCCAGGTGCCCTAATTCAGCCAATTTTTTTTTATTATTTTTAATATTTATTTTTGAGAAACAGTACAACCAGGCACAGAGTTAAGGGGGAGAGAGAGAGAGAGAAGGAGACACAGAACCAGGTTCTGAGCTGTCAGCACAGAGCCCTATGCGGGGCTTGAACCCATGGACTGCAAGATCATGATCTGAGCCCAAGTCGGACACTTAACCAACTGAGCCACCCAGCCGCCCCTCCAATCCTTTACACTTTGCCTTGATTAGAGCAAACCAACAAGGAAGAAGGCACCACATCACTCCGAAAGGAAGGGAATTTTTCTGTATCTTCATGTTTAGTGTTTTTTTTTCAATCAAGACCTGAGGTTTTCCTAGTACAATGAAAAATGATCAGAGGATTCTCTACTCAACGATCCTCAGGTTCTATTAGAAACCTGCTAGGTAAGAGAAGGTGGCATCAGATAACTCTGTGGCAACACATGTTTTTGAATTTTAAAACCTTTACTAAAAGGAGTCCTGTTTCTTAAAAGGTCTCGAAAGAGAAACCCCCCAAAAGTAGCTTTAAGTTTTATGCTGACACAAGAAGAAATGTGTATTTGTGAAGAGCAGGCCACTTCGCATGCACAATCTTTTCACCCTCACAGCAACCGGCCAAGTAGATTGCCACCTCCCTTTGCTGACCAGGAAACTAAGCTCCGAGACCTGCAACCGTGCTGGAGAGCTCGAACTAGACCTCCAGTCCCCATCACTCCAACTCCGACGTCTGTGCTCGTTCTACTACAGCGGTTGGCCATTCTGCTGGCCTCTCGCCTGCCTTGAGACATTCCCGCTCGCTTTAATTGAAATTAAAGATGCTCTACATTCCACTCTCGGCCACTAGGACGGCCCTCCTACTGAGAGGGCCCTCACCTCCAACCCCACCGTGTTGCCCCAATGGGACAAGCACATCACCCTGTCATGTCTGTGAAGAGAAGACACCTCCTCCCAATCTACATCACATGTGGCCTCAAAGCCACACCCGCTCTCCAACACAGTCTACCTCTTTTTCTGGGCTGACACACCAACAGCCGTTTTATTATGCTGACATCCCTTCAGAAGGCTCAGGGCCCATCACACCCCTTTGAGACAGAGATCTAACCGAACTGCTGAAAAGAGAACTTTTGGTCCTCATCTCTGCTGCAACGAAATTGGTCTGTTCTCTCCACCCTGAGGTCTCCACCCTGCCCCCCAAAACTCCATTCTCCTCCGTTTCTCCGGTGTCTAGCTACCCAGCCCTTCCTGTGTAATACGTCCTTCTGCTTCCCTGACCTGCCAGAATTCTGGCCCTGCCCAGAGCCATCACTCTGTGTGATCTTCCTGAACCACTAACCTCATGTGTTCAAAGCCTTTACATAGTTTTTGGCTCCGTTTTATAGCTATTAGACAGGTCAACCTTCATAGGTAAAGGAAGGCTTACCGGAACTCAGGTTCCCCAGAAGCAGACGCTGACACATGAATTTGAGAGCAAGTGATTTCATAAGGAAGTGGTCCCAGGAGCAGAGGGGAGGGACGGGAGGAGCAGGACATGAAAACCTCAGCCTACCTCATTCCAGGTCGCACTTAAGGATTCCTCAAACTTCAGAGCTGGTCTGGCCTTAGGGCCTCCAAGGCAAGGTAACTAGGCTTCCAACTCCCACACTCTGTCAGTCATAGACTACAGGCTGCCTGGGGGATAAGTGAACTCCCAGACACTTCTGTTCTCTGTAGAGTGGCTACAGAGGCCATGGGGCAGGGCTCCAAGCAAAGGGAGTGCCAGCCTTCAGAAGCAAAGCCCACAGAAACCATGCAAAGGGAGCACAGAACCTATAGGAGATGAGGGGAGGGCACCTACCATGTCTGCTCCAAGGTCAAGGTAGGGCCAGCTTCACAGGCACATGACCAGTGGGGTTGCACAAGGTCCCGCCCTCTGAAGCGTCCCACTCTGCCATCACGATCTTGAAATTCTTGGTAATTTTGCGTTTGACTTTGTGCTTTGTAAATCAAGTCCCAAGAGAGGATGGTGCACAGAGTGGACACCGGGGAGCTTCCGTTTCTGGGCAGCTCCACCTCCCAGCTCCCTGGACAGGTTCTCAGTTACAGCCTTCGCTGCTCCCAGGTATCCAGCCCACAGCACACGTAGGCTGTGGACTACTAACGTTAGTATTAAAAACTAAAACTGGCCAAGAAGCTCGGATCCAAGAGGGTGCCATAGGAAGATTCTGAATTCAATTCTTCCCACAGACATGTGGAGTCTACAGCTATATCTGGAAAAATTTCTTCTGCAAGAAACCTAAAATCCAGCCGAGCTCAGTGAGCAAAGGAGGAAAAAAGCATCCACATGGGAGCAGGTAGGAGAGGCTGCACCACCACCTCACCATAAGCCCCACCCTTGGCATGGGGACCCACAAGCAGCGGGGAACTCAAAACCCAGAGCTTCTACCATGGGGGCTAAGGGTTTGAACTCCACATTGGGCAGCCCGAATTTTAAGACCTGTACTTGTGAGACAAGCCCTCAAAATTTCCAGGGGCTCATGTCCACGAGCCCCCTAAGGGTGTTATAATCTGAGAAACCCCTCCTGAAGGGCTCTTGCACTCAGACTCATGAGGTCAGGGCCCAGCTCAGAGGGGGCTATCTGCCCAGACTTTGAGGGAAAGCAGTTCATTTGCTTCTACTGAAGCACTGCCCTGCGGAGGTGGTATCTAATGTAACACAGCCAGGAGCCTGTGGGAATACTCTCCAGGACCAACACTTCACACCATCTCTGCTCCTCCTCTGCAGTGCACCAGCCAGCAGGTGCCTCCTCACACCACCCTCTCCCAGAAGGGAACTTTTTATTTTTTTAATTTATTTTTGAGACAGAGAGAGACAGAGCATGAGTGGGGTAGAGACAGAGAAAGAGGGAGACACAGAATCTGAAACAGGCTCCAGGCTCTGAGGGGTCAGCACAGAACCCGAGGCGGGGCTCAAACTCACGAACCATGAGATCATGACCTGAGCCGAAGTCAGACGCTTAACTGACTGAGCCGCCCAGGCACCAAAGGGAGCTTTTACACTCATCTGGTGCCTCAGTTTTTTTGTGGCCGCTACTCAGGGAACACTACTTGGTCACCTGGCTCTAAAACCCACAGGGAGTTTGCATTCCCAGGTTCCATGGGACTTTAACAATGGAAGAGAGGCCTTGGCAGACTACCACCCCCAGGGCACTGCCGGACAGAAAGAAGTGGTCAAGCCTTTCTGTAAAGAGGCCTATTTGTTTGCCCCGGTGCTTTGGCCTGGGGGCAGGCTTCTGGATTGGCATACCATAAAGGCCTCTGGAGGCAGCCCTCAGAGAGTGGAGGCTGTTGGATCACAGTCTTTGCCCTCTCCCTGGCTACCACTCATCGTTCTTTCTCAGGAAACTTCTATACTTGTCTTAGATTATCATTACTTGAAACTCACCAAAATAGAATCCTCTTTTCTCAAACCTAAACCCCTTACATGGCTTCCCATTATCTATAGAGAATTTAGCCCAAGTTTTTCAACATGGCCTCGAAGCTCTGAGATGATCTAGCTTCTACCTACCTCTAGAGTACCACTCCTCACTGTCCACCCCAAACTCCTTGGCTTCCCCCACCACACACAATGTGCCAACCGCTGACCCCAACACCTCTTTTCCTTCCCCAAATCCTAGCAACCTATTTCTGGAATGCTGTTCTTCCCACTCCTTACTCCTGCTCATTGAGCCTGTCCAAAATCCCCCTTTCTTTATACAACCACAATCCTTTCTGAAGGCTTCCTTAGCTTACCACAACCTTCCAGAACCCTTATTCCTTAAACACACATTTCTATGATACTTCTGGACATCTGTCCATCTTCCCTACTAGCCTAGGTGATCCTTAGAACAGAAATTCTGTACTATTCATCTGAGTATTCCTGTGTCCACCACGGTTCCTGCATAGAGTAAACACACAATGATGCTTATTAAAGATTGTTAAATGGGACTTTCTTGCTGATGTCAATAGCACATAGACTGTGGTTTCATGGGAGAAAAGTCTACCAGAAGACAGAAGATAGGCAAGCAAGACACAAGCAAGCGGTCCTTTGAGAGTCAACAAGAAAACCACTTTGCCAAAGTCCTTAATGCAAAGAAAAGCCACCAGTGTACTCAATAGCAACGAGGCCTCCGCTGGGGGCATGTTCCCTTAAGGATACATCCTCCAAATTCCACGGCATGTTGTACAGTCCATCAATCCTAAAGACATTTGCAAAAGTACAGCTTACCTGTGCTCCAGCTCTCGAATGGAGAGGATCACTCCGGAGGTCGATGGCTTTTGCTGTACAGTGGCCACAAAGGTGAATTCGCTCTTATTCCGGAACAGCTGGATTAATTTCTCACTCACATGAGGGGCTGCATGGATCTCTCGCTCTGTGTCTGCGAGTCAGGAAGGGAAAACAGAAACAGACAGGGACCAAGGGAACAAGGAGGAGAAGGAGGGAATAGAGAAGGAAGCAGGGAAAAGAGGAGGTTAAAAGTGTCCACAGGATCCACGTCACATCTCTCACCCCCCTCACCTTGCCACTCACCAATACTTTGTTTTCAGGTACCATCCACCACTTCAGATAGCAGCATTCATTCAATGCAAAACCCAGAAATGCCACCTCTGTCACTGTACCCCCTTGTCACTTTGACAAGTTCACAATTGGCCAGCTAGTGATTTTCTGACAGAAATTTTGACAGGACACTGAGCAATGTGGCCTGCTACAAACTGATGAAGTTGCTGTAAAAAAGGTGAGAGACAGGGGTGCCTGGGTGGCTCAGCCGGTTAAACTTCTGACTTCAGCTCAGGTCACAATCTCGCAGTTCCTGGGTTCAAGCCCTGTATCCGGCTCTGTGCTGACAGCTCAGAGCCTACAACCTGCTTCAGAGTCTGTCTCCCTCTTTTTCTGCCCCTCCCCCACTTATACTCTGTCTCCCTCTCTCAAAATAAACACTTAAAATTTAAAAAAAAAAAAAAAAGTGAGAGACAATCAGATAAATAAATCCTAAATTCACAGAATCCTGTGTTTAGCAGGATCCAAATGCCACTCAGCAGCTTCCAATTTCACTTTTCTTAGTGGACTCCATTTCTTTCACGCCGCAATCTGTAGAAGGAAAACTGTCCTTGCTTTGTACCCAGCAGAGATTTACTAGCGCTAATAATGCCAGACGACTAACTCCATTTTTGCTTAAAGAATACAGAGCATGTTCATGATCCATAAGCGTGCCTGGAATTTCTCTGTAAACATGGGGCGGATGACCCTGCTCATGAAATGTTAAAAGTTGAGGCCAATTCAGCAGGCCTGGAGGTGTGGGAATCCAGCTAATACTGCTCTTGGCCACGACTCTCCTTCTATAAATTCTTCCTGATAAAACATTCATTATTTCATACTCAGTCTCTTCCTTATCATGATAAACTAGGCACTCTCATTATTTTATACTTTACTTCCTCAAACCAGAAACTGGCCACCAGCAGAATTAGAGCAAACTATTCAGAAATGACAAAGGGATACCAAAAACAGATTTGGTGGCCTTTTCTCATGCCCTGAACACATCGTCTATAGGAAAATACTCCGTTATTTCTCCAAGAGTCTGAAAAAACAAAGACCTTTAAAAGCTGTGTTGCCCAAGCAACATCACAGACTATAGGGACCTTGAAGAACCTCATTGTAAAGCATGGCTTCTGGGGCACCTGGGTGGCTCAGTCAGTTGGGCATCTGGCTCTTGATTTCAGCTAAGGTCATGATCCCAAAATCATGGGATCAAGCCCCACACTGGGCAAGCTTGCTCAGCATGGATCTTGCTTATTTGCTTCTGTACCCAAACAAAGTCCTTCAGTACTTTACTGTTAAGTGGCCAGCTTTCAGCTTTTGTCAAGGGCAGAGACAAGAGCCACTTAGGGAATGCTTCTATACCTTCTCCAAAATCCCAAAGACTTGGCAAGATAATATTCAAGATCTATTAAACATATGAACTAATCACTTTGTAAACTAGAGATCATTAGCGAACGTTTGTTAACATTTTTGTTACTGCCAGGTAAAAATCCTAATAAATTCCACCTAGAATTCAGTACCAGAAAAAAAAAAAAAATGCATTTGGCTCTTGAGATTAACTTACATTTTACTTTTCCCCTTTTTGCTATTTCCTTCTTTATTCATCTATTAGGAATTAGCTGATTGGCAGTGCTAGCCCCGAGAGCTCATTAGAGGATTCTAAAGCTTGAGCCCAATGCAAAGTGAGCAATGTTCAATCAGCCATGATATTCGTAACGCTTTCCCCCAGCAGGCATATCAGTGGGGGATGTCCTCACCTCTCACTCCATTCTCTCGGACATCATCCCAGCACCACTGGCCAATGACACTGAAGGCTGTATATCTGCCACCCCAATCTCTCCCTTACGCAACAGATACATCTTCAATATCCTTAATATCTCCATAGGAAGGCCTAATATGCATTTCAGAATGTATATATCTATGACAGAGCTCTGGTTATTCCTCCCAACCCTCTATTTCCTCTTGGAGTTCCCAGTCTTAGCAAATGGGACCACTCAGTTCAAGCCAACCAATTTCATACTCTTCTTTCATATCCAAGCCCACTCCTGTGCCTCAGGGTCTTTGCACACTCTTCCTTGTTCCCCACAGAGCTCTTCCCCCCCCCCCCCCCCCCCCCCCCCCCCCCCCCCCCCCCCCCCNCTTCCCAGGCCTGGCTCCTTCAGCTTTTACTGAAATTGCAGCCTCCTGGTCACTCCCTCCAAAGCAGGTTCACCATTTATGTCAAACACATCACTCTGGTTATTTTCTCCATACCACTTATTATAATCCGTGTTTCCCTTCTATTTTTTTTTTTTTTTTTTTTTTTTACATATTTTCTTTCCCCTCTAGTCTAGAAGCTCCACAAAGACAGGCACACTCATTCATTCATTGCTGTGTCCACAGTTCTCAGTGCCTGGCATGAAACAGGCATCCAATACAGACTTAGTGAATTTATGTTCTATTTATTGTTATCATGTATATTATTATTTCAAGTAACCACAAATATTATAGTCAGAAACAAGTAAGATAACCTTTGGAAAAGGAAAAGATAAATGGATACTTGTCAAGGCTCAGTGGCTATCAAATGAAAGAAAATCATGTTCAGGGCCAATTCGGCCCCTCCCATTTATAGGACACCCCATCTAACAGTCTAATCCAACTCAACCACACTGCTGCTCATCCAGCCCTCCTACAAAACTGAACATTTCCTCTGCCAGCTTCTCACTTCTTTTTGTAAATGACCGGCACAGTGAAATAAAGATACCCTATTAGCACTCACCAGAGTGAAATGTAAAAAAACATCTATTTTCAAACAATGAGACTTTATGTGCATTCTCATTTTCAGAAAAGCTCTCTCAAGTAAATGCTTACCATAATTCAACTGCTAAAAGAACCCCAGAAAGTAATCTCACTTATTACAACATATAAGCCAGAGCACTGGACCAGTTTAAAAGACTCAAGACTATCAAATTTTATCGATAACTAGCTATGTGACCTTGGATAAGACACTTAACCTCTAGGAGTCTCACACTCTCTATCTGAAAACTGAGATGACTGGAGATCAGGGAGTTCAAGTTCTTCCCAGGCCTCAACATTCCATTTCTATTCATCACTTTACCCTCCTCCTAGTCACCTAGCAGAAGAGGGTACTGAAGGTGTTTTCTACATATGAAATAACTAGATTCTACCATTTCTCTCCTCTGCTGATCTTCCAAATCTATAGCGGATACTGTACTGCCATATGCAACCATTAATGTGCTTGCTGTATTTTTTAAGAATATTCAATTCTGCTAGAGAGAACAAGAAAAACAAGTGGAATGAATAGAGCTCATAGGGAGTGTTAAATATAGATAGCAAGTTAGAAACCTGTGAAACGTGTTAAACATAGATCAAATAAATGAAACATAAGCGTGTTGCACATATATAAAAAGGACTGAATAAGCATGTAACCTATAAATAGGATGGGGTGGGAGAACCAAGTCACAACGTACAAATCACACCATCTTCAGGATGACAGCTATGTCATCCCTAAATGGGATACATTTGACACTCATTCCATTCCCATTCTGGCACCACATGTACTCTTCCTGAAAAATGCTACTCAAACCCATCATTGCTCACCTGATTAACTGGTAGCTAAAGTTGGGACGAGGAGTACTTGCCCTCTCCAAGACAGGATACACGTTGGCACCTGGCTCCTCCCACCTGCTGAAACTCCGCCCACCACTCTCTTTACATCCTCTGCTCTGGTCCATGTAACCTCAAAGAAGCTGATGGGGCAAAGACCGAATACATGAACAATGCATGACCCAGGAATCCGGTGGGGTGGCCCATCCTTCGCCCAGCCTGTACCCTATACGCCTACTCCATTTCTTTCCCCTGCTTCCCCCTGGACATTTTGACTTTACTTAATTCGTCACATGATTCAAGCATCTGAATTTGGTTGGTGAAGCAGTTTGTGACCCCTGGGAACATCCCTGGGAGTCTACCATTGCATCAGGGTAATCTCCCATACAACCACCACTTACATTGAACATTTTACACTTAAAAAAGAAAGTCATTCCGAACATCCAGAAATTTTACACGATCTAGTTAAGAAGTGCTCCATCAGCAACAAAGGTTAAGTGCTTTTTCTTTCCTAGGATGAAACGGCTCTACCTGGTCATTTTTAAAGGCTAAAAATGTGAATGTGATGATTAAGCATCAGATTTAAAAAAACGTATTGGGTTGAAGGGAGGAGGTTACAGAAATTAAACGGTGGTATTCACACACTCTCATCTGCTGGGTACAGAAGCAACTTCATTTCCTTTTTGTCGGATGACAGAGTGAGGATTGTGATGGTCAAACATACCAGTGTCTTCTCTGTGCCAGGCATTGTGCTTTCTGGGCACCAGGGAAACCAGTATAAATACAGTTCCTGCCTTTGAGGATAGCTGCGGAAGCAAGGTTGTCACCTGCAGACGACAGGTAGAACGGGGCAATGCACAACAGAAGGAGAAAGCCAGTGGAGGCTGGGAAGGACATAGTGGAAGAGAGATCTCTGAGCCAGAGTCTAAACACATGAATAAGCATGTAGCTGGCAAGAGAGGGCACTCATTGCAGGATGGCTGTGCAGATGTGGATACCCATGTGTTTTCCATTATCCTGGCATTTTTCTTTCTCTGCAAGCATCTCTCTCACTGAAAGTCCAGTAGCACAGCAGCTACTCAACCTAATATCAGAGGAAACTCTCCACCGATTGGCAAGTGGGGGAAACAAGAACAGCAGCAGCCAGAAACATGACCAAACACACACCCAGCAACCCACCTCAGCCTTGACAGACAGAAAATTTAGGGAACAGCTTAGTAATGACAACACATTTAC